GAAATTCAAGAAAAATCTACAGAAATTAGAAAATTATTCCTTCTAAATTCCAAAATGAATCAAATTTTTATTTTTATAGAGAAAGGGTCTCATTTTGTTGCTTAGACTGGAGTGCAGGGGCACCATCATGACTCACTACAGCCTCCACCTCCCAAGTTCAAGTGATTCTCCTGCCTCAGCCTCCTGAGTAGCTGGGATGACAGGTGTGCATCCCCATGCCTGGCTAATTTTTGTATTTTAGCAGAGATGGGGTTTCACCATGGCCAGGATGGTTTTGATCTCCTAATCTCATAATCTGCCGGCCTCAGCCACCCAAAGTGTTGGGTTTATAGGCTTGAGCTGCCACACTCAGCGTTTTTAGTCTTTTATACGTATTGACCCTAAGAATATTCTGCAGGCCTATGAAAACTTATTTTGCGACTGTAAGATTCAGTCTAAAAGAATAATAGCTGAACTAAATGTATAATATTGAGTTATATTTACATAAATTATAAAAAAACACAATTTTTTTAAAAAAGGGAACCATGGATGAACAGTGAATTTAGTAACTATTATTTAAACTGTATTAAATATCAAAATGTTTTTATATAGACCCTATCCGCAATTTACAGATTAGGTATGACTACTTCCTCTTGTTGATCTTTTATGCAAAACAAAATAAGATTAAATCTCAGAAGACCACAATTTAGAATAAACATGAATTCCTAACCACTTGAAATACATCAGATTTTCACTCTGAGGAGGCTTTTCTTCTCTGATTAAATAAAAGGTGGTATGTGCAGTTTACAAAGTTGACGGAAACATACAAAGAAAAAAAACACTTGAAGAAGAATAGCTGTCTCTTTCTACCTAACTCCAAAATAAAAGAAGTGATCATTTTGAGAACATTAAAATTAAAATGTTAAACATTACACTAATAACCAGTTGACATTTTATAACTTTAGGTGGTTCAAAAAATGTTTTCCATCTAGAAGTCAGATTACTAAACTATGGTTCAAAAGCTAAGTGTGGCCTAACAAAGGCTTCTATGACGGGTCTTATTATTCTTCCCACTCCCCAGCTTTGGGAATTTTTCCATTCTTTAAATATCACTTTTAGTAGTATAGTGACTGTATTTTCCAAACTTCAAATCAGGCCATAAGTTCTGGCACTTGAGTGTTTTGTGTTGTTTCTTGGTGCCAGGTGCACTCTAGGAAGTGTGACTTAGATATCAAAAAATTAGAATAGCAGAGCAGAACTGAAGGAGATAGAGACACAAAAAACCCTTCAAAAAATCAATTAATCCAGGAGCTGGTTTTTCGAAAAGATCAACAAAATAGACAGACCACTAGCCAGGCTAATAAAAAAGAAAAGAGAGAATAACCAAATTGATGCAATAAAAAACGGTAAAGGGGATATCACCAGAGATTCCACAGAAATTCAAACCATCATCAGAGATTATTACAAACAACTCTATGCACGTAAACTAGTAAACCTGGAAGAAACGGATAAATTCCTGGACACTTGCCTCCTTCCAAGCCTAAACCAGGAAGAAGTTGAAACCCTGAATATACCCATAACAAGGTCTGAAGTTGAGGCAGCTATTAAGAGCCTTCCACCCAAAAAAAGCCCAGGTCCAGATGGGTTCACAGCTGAATTCTACCAGACATACAAAGAGGAGCTGGTACCTTTCCTTCTGAAACTATTCCAAATAATCCAAAAAGAGGGAATCCTTCCCAAATCATTTTGTGAGACAAACGTCATCCTGATACCAAAACCCAGCAGAGACTCAACAAGAAAAGAAAACATCAGCCAATATCCATGATGAACATAGATGCAAAAATCTTCAGTAAAATACTGGCAAGCCGACTGCAACAGCGCATCAAAAAGCTTATCCATTGTCATCAAGTAGGCTTCATCCCAGGCATGCAAGGCTGGTTCCACATATGCAAGTCTATAAATGTAATTCGCCACATAAACAGAACCAAAGAACAAAACCACATG